TAATGACACTTTATATTTTTGTATCTTGTCTTGGACTTGCTCCTGCTCTTCTCTATATCATTCTTCGGTTCCTTTTCTGACCTCTCCCCCTATTTTCAATGATAAGCACCTCAAATTGAGATGAGGAACCATGTGTCTTCTTTCTCATCTCTTCATTAAGAGCATCACTTTTTGTCATTTGAAAAGAAATAATGTCGTTAGAGACTGAGTTTGTAATTGAAACCCAAAACATCTCTTAAGACTCTAGTAGAATATTCAGTAGCTATAGTCCCAAAACTTCATCATCAAAATTTATACTCATTCCTAATAGTTGATCTAGGATCCCTTGAAACTCATTTAAGTGATCTGAAATGGAAGAACTCTCCCTGTTGGTGCTCAAAGTCTCATTCTTTATCAAACATAGAATCCGGCTTTTGTGTAGCAAAGACTGGCATATGCAATTTCTTCATAAACGACAAATCTTTCATCTTGCATTTCCATAAATGATAATTTGTACCATTTAAAACAATCATATTTGTATTCGTCTCCATCAAGTAAATATAACCCAAAAAAAACCAAGAGCTCTGATGTCATTCTGATAGGGAAAAACAACACAACAACCAAAAATATCAAAGTATGCAATATAAATAATTTATCTAAACTTTCAAGAAGAAGTGAGGAGTAACAACAACAAAAAATGACAAGAATAATAAAATACCAATATATTTAACGTGTGAAACCCCTTCAATATGAGAAATAAGAACTCATGGGTACAAGTTAATCAATTAAGTTCTACTAAGATAAAAAATATGACTACGAGAGAATCAAATCAAAATGCACAAATAAGTACCTACAAACAGACATAAAATCCAGTTAAAAAATATGACTACAAGAGAGTCAAATTAAAATGCACAAATAAGTAAGTGCTTACAAGCATACCTAAAATCCAGCCACAGTAAACTTCCAATTGATGAACGGAGCGAGAAATGTAATTCCTAATAATGAGTGTCCATTAATGCCCGAGAAATGTAATTCCTAACAATGAGTGTCCATTAATGCCCAAAACCCTGGTCACCAAACAAAATGGGATATGAGTCAACTATATAAGAAAATATAACACTATCTTTAACCTAAAAACTTAAGTCATTAAGTTATGGGTCTTTCTTATTTATAAGTTACTAAATTTTTTCATTTCTACCCAATGAGAAACTTCAACTCACTTAAATTTTCTATAAGAAAAAAATGTGTTTTTACTTCCAACATGATTAAAAAAATTCTAATTTTATATAATAGGATCAAAATAAAAATAAAATATAAATAAATATAATCATGTTAAAATCGTACTTCTAAAAACAAGTTCGATAATTAAAGTTAAAATCATATTATATATAACATGATTTTAGTTTAAGATTTTTTTAATTTATTTTTTTATTAAACTCGTGCTCGAAAGCATTATTGTATAACAAAACTCATGTTTAAAGCACCATTTTTGTTGTACACAACTAAATATACCTTCAAAATTTTAATTTTAATAATTAACTATAATTACAATAGAAATTGCTGTAAGTGGATCAAAATTATGAACGATATTATATACTCTTCCAATTACAATGAAAATAATTTTGGTTACATACTATTTACTTTGTCACTTCTAAAACATACTATTTACCATCTATACATTTATCTCAACTAAATTTTTTAGGATACTACTATAAAGGATTTTGTTGACAATAAGACGCAATAAACTCGTGAAAAATACAACCTGAAACAAAATTCGGTAACAATGCACGAGTTTCCTTATACAAACCCAAAATTATACTTCCAATCACGAAATTAAAAAAAAAAAAAAAATCTTTAACTAAAATTGTGCTGTATAACACAATTTTAGCTTTAACCGCGAACTCTTCCTTAAAATAATCCTGGTAGAAGCCAATGTAGTAGTCCTTCATATTGTAGCATAGCATATGCGCGTGACACCTGAATACATACGTGGCTTCTGCGAAATTTTCTGACTTCAAGTTTGGCTTAAAAGAGCAACCTACAAGGGTACGGTGTATGTGTAATGTATGAAGAACTATTTCCTTTGACCATTCCACACTGTGAAATGCAATGGTGGCACAATGGACACCTCCATGATCACTGTTGCTGATTGAATTTCTTGCTAGACAACCGTTATCAACTTTTCCAAGTCCATATAGCCAGCAATTCAAACGCATGGAAACAAAATAAAATACGTCTATGGATTCATCATTTCTCACTTGTTCTCCATACATTAATTCAGTTACTTTCGCCCCATGTAAAGTTAAAACCATGTACTCAAAACTGGGCAAGCCTAACTACCCTCCATCGACCACCACAGTTTTTTTAATATAGAATCTTCAAAGGGACCACACAATCCAGTATCCACATTATTCCAAATTTCTTTTGTGCGCAAAATTTGACTTTCCAATAGTTTTAGATGGGTATTGGGTAATCACCAAAATATGCTCCAATCAATCGCACACACAAATCATCTTGCACACACTCTCCACATTTTATGCACGTCATTTTTCTGGACCTTCATGACGTATCCAGTGACGAAACTCTCACATTATATGTTTTATATTTTACTACCTGAAAGCGAAACTGATATAAATCATAGCACATGATCTAAATATTTTATCGCCAATAATGTCATTCCCACGACTCTACACGTCTTTTTCACGTCTTTTTCATTTATATGGCAATGCTTTTTTTTTTTTATATTGGCAAATTGAACAAGTAACGTGAAAGGTACATGCTTTGGAAGTTCAGTCAGGTTCGAGTCATAATGTATTCTATTTTTAATTTTAAAGACAAAGGTGTAAGAATTTTGTTTTCCTCGCATTAGACAAAATCAAGAAGAGACATGTTGAGTTCACAAGTTAATTTGGTACCATTGATTTATTTGTCCTCAACTGCTATAATGTACTTCTAGATTATTTGATATTTTAATATCTTTTAAAAAAATTAACCCAAAAAGAACTTTACTTTCTTGTCGTATTAGACAATTTGGTGTAACTCTAATAACACCGAAAGGAAAGAGAAGGAGAAGATGAGTTTCTCTTTGTCAAGAAATATATACATTATATGTTTATAATCATTCAATATAAACCAAATTCAATGTCAGTGCGTATATGAAACTAAATTGCACACCTTTTGTTCTACTTGTGCAATGTAATTGAGATTATTATTTGAATAGATTCGTATACTAATTTTTCATGGAATTAATTAATTATCAAATAAAATTTTGACTGTTTTAAATTATTTTTTGCTTAGAAGTTTGGTTAATGAATCACTTTTGAAGATAAAAACTCTAAAATAGACTCTCTCTTTTTTTATGTATTAAAACTTATATCCATTAGATTTATGAACTCCATTCAGTCCTCTCATTTTTATAAGAATCAAATTACAAGTTTGACTTAATAACATGAATTACTAATATGGGAGCTAATGGGCCCATCTAATTCGGGCCCATAAGACCCACTATGTAAGGTTCGCATATTTTATTAAAGAATAACATGAAAAAGTGATCACTGGTAATAATAAGAATTGGAAATTTATTTTTATTTGTATTTTATTTTTTAATATAATGATTTAAAATAATAATTTATATTAATTATTAAAAATAATGAATAAGGATAAGGAGTAAATCTTTAAGAATTTTTGTCGTATAATTTATTATTGTTTGCTTGATATCACAAAGTTCCATGAGAGAAAAAAGGACTTACCATTAGGGGAATAAAAGGAAGCTAGAAATGAGTGTAGAATGGTGCAGAATGAAAAAAGCAGAAAAAGAAAACAAGTTATGAGTTGTCACTTTGTGATATGGGGTATTTTTTTAGCATAATTATACAGTTTAATAGTTACCATTTGCATTGAAGAATATGTAAAGTAGTGAGAAGATCCAAATCCACCAGCTGCAATGATATGCTCAGAAAATGAAATTATATTTCTGATAAATTTTGGCACTACAAGAAGACAACTCGATAATGAAATATTCAATCGCTTTCATTGAAGTCATGGTAGGTGGTTAGTACCTTAATCCCACTAACACTCCAAAATCTTTCTCCAGAGCCCGTTTTATACATTTTTGGAAATCAAAGTTACTTCCTTGCAAAATGGCCCTAGGATAACTGTTTATAAAAATAAATACTATTTATTTAAGTAATATATAAAATTTGTTTATTAAAACAAACAAAAAATTATTTATTTTTGTATTTTACTTTTTTTTATTAACTAAACGCGAACAATTCAATCAAAGTCTCCTGATTTTCTGTGTTTTAAAGAATTATGCATATGATTTGAAATTATGTTTTATTCAGGAGTACTTTATTGATGACCAAAATAAATGGTTCTCATTTCTGAAACTTTAATAAATGAGGAATTACTGCTTCCATGAAGATAGATTGAGAGTTGTGTTGTGGTATAACATGACTAAAAAAATAATGCACAAAAAGCTGGTGGAATGAAACCCTAATTAAAAATTAGTAGAAAATACTAATGTAAATTAACTTGATAATATTAAGAATATGGAAAGAAAGGTGTTAGTGTTAATCATTATGATGCTTTTGCACAGCCATTAAGGATTGTAGATATACAAGTACGCATATATTGAACATGTTTTGGTAATAATATTATTGTGTTTGGGTTTGGAGGAAATAGGATTGACCCTTCCAATTGAAATTTTAACATCTTGATTCTAAGAAATACATTCAAAGGGAAGATAAAGATGCAGTATTACCACAATAGTTTTTACTCGTGTATGCATCTTACAGGTCACATTGCCTATGCACAAACCATAAATACACAAGCACTTCAACTTTGGTCAAAGTCATATTTAGATAAAATTAACCAAATCTGGCATATAATAACAACTTTCTTCGTTACCGAAATCCAAATATATCAATAGGAAAGCACAACCAGAGCAAATTATGGACCCATTCTTCGGCTTATCTCATTCCACTGAGTCATATTTAGCTATAGCACACATGATGCTAAGCTCAATACTGCAACACACCCTGCAAAGTCTTGGAAGAATGACCCACAATCAGTTTGAAACATTAGAAAAGAAATTACATCCAGCATGGTTAAGGAAAGGATTCATAGATCACTAACCTTGGTGCAGTTACTTCCAACCGACTTGCTCGGGAGGGCCCGGCTGGGATGGAACTCATCTTCTACAAGTCTAGTAAAGGAAGGTCCAGTATTCAATGGTCTAGTGATGGTAGAGGAATCAGCCTCTTTATTTGCAACATGTGCGTCCTCAGTCAGTGAAAAACCAAAGAGTCTACAACTACTTTTACATGAGGAAACCATCTCTTGATTTTTTCTCAATGCTGACACAGAATTGTTTGACTGTGAGCTACCCAACTGATTATGAACATCAAACATACCTAAAGAACTAGCACCTTCCGGAACTCGCCTAGAGTAAGTAAGATCACCAGATGGGGGAGAAACAAATGTTCTAGCTTTTACTTCAGAAGTACATAAACTTTGGTAATGCACTCTACCCTCCATCTTATTATGTTTCTTATTATTATAATCACAGTTTGAAACTGGATTAACTGCTTGCTGAAACATTAACACAGATGATGGAGATGACACTTGTGCAGGTGTAACGGATGCATGCAAATGTGGAGCATTGTCATGCATCTGAGCAGACCACCCATTTCTGGAGTTAAGTAACTGATAACCATCAAAATGTCCAAAGCGACCATTAGCTCGAGCCTCCTCGATTGACAAGGCTCTTCCATATGGTTGGCTTGGAAGAATTTCTTGACCTTGCAAGACCTTCTGGAACCGGAAAGATTCACTAAAGCCTGTGCCATTGCAGGAAAAATCAGATGCTGCGTGAGGCATTCTGATGTTATTCCCTGTTAGAGGAATCCCAGAACCGTTTGGACCAGGATAGTACCTCCCTAAGTCATATAACCGAGGACTCTGAGCATTAATGCTATCAAAGGGAGGATTAACACCCAAAATTTCTTGACCTTGCAAGACCTTCCGGAACCTTAATGATTCCCCAAAGTCTGATGTTCCAATCCCATCTGCTACGAGTAACAAATTATCAATGCCATTGCATGAAGAAACAAGGCTCAAATGCATTTCTCTTTCAACAAAATTGGTCTAGTGACTTACTGGGAGAAGGAAATTCCATCTTCGCTGAAGTCATTCCAATCCGGGTCCTCTTCAAACCAGCTGTCATCATGTTGCTGGAACTTGAAGCAGGACCAGATGGCTCAATTTCCCATGGGGAAACCCTATTGAGCCTAGCAGCTTCTATGTCATCCCACCTTACCTGTATAAAAGATTTAGAACATATGATTGGAATTAATTATATTGTACTACAGGAACAGATCATAATCAACAACAAGGCAGTGCAATCGCTGCTGTATGAATGAATACATTCAAATCTTTTGAGATCTAACAAGTTGACATACGAAACAAAAGAATGCATGCAACTTAAGCAGAAATAACAAGCTTAAGAACAATAATAATCATTGACCTGCAATATAGAGATATTAGCAGTTGGCAGAAGAAAAGTAACGAACAACTCCGGTTACTAAATAGTATTGAAAGACAAGCCAACTTTATTTGAAACGGTACTATCAAACTTGTATTACACAACTAGCTATGAAATACATTGATGAAATTTTACATACCATAAATACCAAATTATGGCTGAAATAATAAAAGAGGTAAACTATCATTTACAATTCAAATTTCAAAAGATAATTGTCAAGATGATAGCCTGAATTATAGGCTTCACAACAAAAGGTCTGGGGAAACTACTTAAATAAATCTATATCTATTATTTTTTTCTAAAGTTTTTCTTTTATTTGAGAAAAGTATGCTTAAAGGAAGATCCATGGAAGTTCTTACATCATGCAGAGTTCACAAACCCAATTCATTCAAGGAATCATTTGCTGATTTAATGGAGTTACATGAATTTGAAGCAGAAGGAAAACCAAAAAATGAAGCAGATGGGTAAAAGTTCATCAATAAAAGAACAGAATCAAATAAAGACAAATGGAACAAGAACTTGATATTTGTTTAAAAGCTTATTCAGCAGACATAAATAAAAACAAGAACATGCACCAAAACGAAAATATGGAAGTCGTTGGTTACAGAGAGGAAAATGCAATTATAAGTAGTATTCCTTCTACCTTGCTCACTTTTATGTCCAAAACAAATGTGAAAGAACTAATGTAGCCTATAGAAAATCACGAGCTGAAAATCCCAAGATGAGTATTGAATTTATCTTTCCTAGTGAGCTCAGAAATGATCGTAAACATTACAGTATCAAGCCTTAAAGCTTACAACACAATCACGTGCATATAAAGCAAAACAATCAAAGAAAGATATAAGGACCAAAGCAAAAATACCAGTAGGCATCTCCATTTTGATCCAGGCCATCTAACAGGATCGACATCACTGATTCCAGCAATTAGTCCAGTAAATCTGATCAATAGAAGTTCAACCAAGATGAGTTATTGATAGGTAATCAACATGTAGAGTGAACATGTATGATATTTGATAATTTGACAAACCTCCGCTCAGCAGCATCTTCAGTTTCAAAACGCATCCTGAACCTCATTCCAACTAAATAAGAACAATCAAGGCTCTTTAAGAATTTGTGAACAGGTATGATGAATTCCGAAGAGCTAAACCTACAATCGAAAGGTAAAGTATATAAGGCATTCTTTAAGGAGATTGAGAGAAAACTGAGAGAGACACAGAAGCAGTAATTTTGAAGAAATGATATTCTTAAGGGAGAGGTTCCAGTAAAAACCCTTTGAGTGCATGGAATAAATGGATTGTTAGTTTGTCTATAATCTTATTAAAACATATAAAGGATGAAGAGCAAATGGAAATTTTAAAGCATTTATTCAATAACTAGTAGGAAGGATCTAGGAAATTTAATGCAGGTAGTTTTCTTCTACAAACCAAATCTCCTGTCTAGCACCTTAAAATGGAAGAGCTTAGGTGAATGGGGAAATTCACCATTAGATATTATAATGAGATCACCAACTCCATCCCCATCTAATACAAACATAAAAACACTCCACAATTGTACATAGAAACTGGCATAATTACAAAAATTGTGTTAACTAACTCCTGGGAGAAGTACAAGTCGATGAATAAATACCTTGGATTGTAGCATACACTAAAAGCACTTCTTGTAGATAATGCATTAACAACATCCATGAGAGTTCCAGGATTCAGTTGCTGCCCAGTGGGAACTGCAAAGGAACCAGCACTTTTCAACTGAGCTGCCCTACGAATCCCTAATCTCAGTTCTCCATCGTCGCCCCTGATTGATATTATAAAATGTTACTTGTGGTTAGGACTACAAGTTCATATGAGATGCGAATTTGGGTCACGGTACCTAAGAAACAACACAGCATCTCCAGAAACAAGCTTCTTTTTGTTCACAAACGCACTCCATCCAGTTGTTAGCAAATGCCTCCGTGGCTGGCCTGCTCACCACATAATGATAAAAAATAAAACCCCCAATCCTACGTATTCAATGCACTGGTATGTTAACAAGTGACATACCCCTGTATATGTGACGAAACCTCCATTCCAGGCCATGAAGATCCTTTGCCACAAGCTCCTGTGAAGGTCTCTGTTGACTGTAATCCTAAAAGTAACAGTAGAGTACAAATTCAAAATGTGACCACAAAATATCTACAAAATCAAGCTTCAATTTAGCATATCAACTAGGATAAATCAAATTAGATAAGCCGGCAAATCACTTGAACACAAACAATTCGTTATTACCAGAGGAGGAAAGCAATCTTCAGCTGCTCGACGTGGCACTGAAAATCCACCATGAGTGCTGGTGTCTGAAGCTGTGAGAGTCTTGCAGAACATATGGGGAGTTGTTGACTTCCCCAAAGCTTCAGTATCCTCCTCTTCCCCATCAGCTTCAACTTCACCTTCCCGCAAACTTTGCTCCATTTGCTGTAATAAAGTGCCAAGTTCAAGCAAATTTTAATTTGAATCAGCTAATAAACTCCATTCACTTAATAATAAAATAACATCATAGCTAATCATATCAAAAGGGACAGTAACATGATGGATATGGAAAGAAAACAAAACAGAACAATGTGTTTAACACACATTGCACTTTCTCCTCTCATGGATTCCAGAACTATGACATTCTGCTCAATCAAAAAAATTTATTATAACCAGCTTGTCTAGTCAAATTTTATCTAACCCTAAAGACTGGGACAGATTGAGATGTGTTTTCTTCGGCAAGCTTCCCAGACCCAAACTGCACCAAAGTAAAATAACATCGCAGAGAAACCTCACCTCACTTTCAGGAACCAACAAAACTTGGCAATACACTTCATCGCTCCCTTCCTCTGCCTGCCCAGAAAAAGCACAACCGTATTTCATTAATATATTATGTAAAATCCAAAACAAACCACCCTATATTTCCCTTTACACATGACTCATCCAAATGAACCAGAAACAAAAACAAAAACGAAAGGGGACACTCCTTCGTTAGTAAAAACATCAACTTTCTCAGAAAGCAGACAAACAGAAACCCAGCTAACTACAAAACCCCATAAAGAAGCGAAATTCAAGAAAAGGGTAAAAAAAAATAAAAACCTTAGCCGACACATTGGTTTTGTTTTGTCCGATGAAAGGGGAAAAGAAAAACGAACCGAACCACACTTACATGGAGCTTGACATCAAGAACACGACAGAACACATGGGGTGGGATATCATAAGCAGTGACCGGAAAATCCTGAATATGCTCAAAGTGACCCTGTGGCATGTACACAACAACACTTCCTTTCTTCGGCAGAGAGATCAAAGGCCCCGCACAAGCGTGCCACAGTTCTAAGCACACAGAAGGAGGAGGAGGGGGACCAACCAAGGTTGAAGCAGAAGTGCTTATCCCGGAGTGAGAAGAAGAAGATGAAGCAGGAGAAGAAGCAGATAATGGAGCTTCATCATCTTCCGTGGTGTTCAGATCGATCAACCCCATAGCAAGAAAGTGGTGTTTGCAATGTCAACAAATCTAACAAGTGAAGAAGAGGCTGGAAAGAGGAGGAAGGAAGGAGAGATTTCAATGAACGGTCTCATGCCTGCTGCAGCATTTTCAGAGAGCGTGAGGTGTAGTTGAGTAACTTTGGCATTGCTAAAAGAGGTGTGACCCAATACTCCAAAAAGAAAGAGACCCTCTTTCTCTGTCCTCTCTCTTTCTCTCTCTCACTACCCTTTTATGAGTTATCACTCTCTGCTATTTTGTTTCTTTTTGGGGGTTCTTTTCTTTTACTTTATGTTTTGGCTGGGAAGGGAGGTGTGTGTATTTTGGGGTAGCATCAAATCAAGCTTTCAGTGAGATTTAAGTTGGAGTGATATAAAAATAGGAGCTTTGTATCCCTCTTGTTTTATTTTATGTATGTTTTGGGCCCTTTTGCTCGTTCTTCTGCGGGGTGAAGCAGGAGCAGTGGTGCAGTTGCTGCTGCTGCAATGCAATGCTATGCTGAGACTGTTGGGTGTGATGTGTGGCAGAAAGAAAGAGAGAGAAAGAAGGATAGAAAGAAACAAGGCTACAAGAACAAAGACTGTAGTAGTGGTAGTGCCTCACTTTGTGAGGTTATGTGTGGGTTAAAGACCAATAAAATATCGGAAGCTGAATAAAAAGTATTTAAGAGTGTACGGCGTCCCTGTATTTCCGGGCGGATGTCTATTCTGTCCCCTTCTACTTCACCAAATCTCACACCTATCCCTCTCTGCTTAATCTTCTCCCTCTCTTCTATTCAACTTTTCAATCTTCCTCATCCCAAACATATTTAATTCCTTCTTCAATTTCTTCCCACAACATGCAAGCTCATTCTCCATAAACTTCACCATCATCTCCATCTCCACACTGTTTGTTACAAGATACTCATTTTTCCCCTTGTCTTATGCAAAAAATTTTACTTACACATCATTGCTCACAAATTATAAACTATATCATGTCATGAGAGAAAAATAAAAAATTAAACAAACTATTTTATTATATATAAATACTTTTTTAATTATTTTATAAAATATTTCTCAGTTTGTAATGTTTGTCAAAAAATATATATATATTAGTCATGAAATCTCCCAACCATGATTTTGCGTTCCTTTAATTATATGATACCAGTGTTTACTCCCATTTTTTTTAATTTATGAAATTACAGAATGGTTTATGTTATCGTGAATGTATATTCATATTTTTTTTACACAATTAGAAAAACAATTACATTCACAACTTAAAAAAAATAGTCATCACGAACCGTACATCAATTATGGTAATTCAAAAATAGATACTACAATATTATTCTTATTATAATAAAAGTAAAATAATATAAATTTGCCTACACGATAAATCATTATGAAAAATAATATCGTTTTTACATATTAATGGTGATTATGAATATAATTTTTCATATTATAAATATTTTTTTAAGTGATTGTTATAGATTCTGATAAATTTATATCTAGATAACATAAAATTTATGTTTTAAATGTATTTTAATTCAAGGCAAATGTTCTATAAGAGATATGTATTGAAAAATATTTTTAATGTAATTATTTATTTAGTGTTATAGTTAAAAAACTTTTCTTTCATATCTCTATATTTATAATATTTTAGGGTATTTTTTTTATTATTATTAAAAATATTTTTATAGTTTTTTAAATCTAATAAAAAAATAATTTATTTTTATCAATAATATTAATATATATATATATATATATATATATATATATATATATATATATATATATATATATATTATCCGTCATCATCATTGTAAAGTTATCAAAGAAAACTTATATTTTTTTTTGGCAATTTTTTATCATTATTAATACTTTTTTCTAAAAAAAATATTGTAACTTATTTTAAATAAATAATTTATTTAAAAAAAAAACAAAATAAACCACTCTTAATTTTATTTTAGTTACGACAAAAACATGCTATCTTAATCCGTTTTAACATGTTTCACCCACAATTTATAAAAAAATTATAACAAGTTAAAATGTTAATAAATTCATAAATCATAAAATAAAATAAAATATAAGAAAGTTTTTCATAAAACAAATTCATATCGAAATTTTTTATTGAATAACCTAAGATATATTAATAACTTAACCTAATTTTTTAATACATTTTTATTAATATTAGAAAAGTTAAGTTTTTTAAAAACAACAATAATAATAAATATAAAAACATAAAGCTAACATAGTGAGAATCATAAACCTAAATACTTAATTATATTGTTGTTTTTTCAGTAAATTAATCCACCAATAATTGATAAATCGAGTCACTTAGTTCAATAATTGATTTTTTTTTCTCGGGTTTAGCAGTCTATTCACCTTCACCAAACCTAATTTTGTCATCTATACTACACTGTTAGTTAAAAAAAGGTTATTTTTCAGTATAGAGAATAAAGAGAAATTTGATGTAACTATATAAATTAAAAAAAGTGATAAATTTTATTTTATATTTTAAGATACATTCAAAAGCAGGTAGATGTAGAAAGCATTTGAAAGAAAGAAAAAGAAAAGATGTAGGAATATAATGTGGTTTTGTTATGTTGAAAGAGTGAAAGTGATTTGGTAAACAAAGATACCAGTGATGTGGAATATTTTAATTGCTTGCTGTTGAACCTGAATCATTACAGGTGCATGGTGCACCTTATTATTGCTCCTATTTGGCAGGCTTTGGTGGTTAATGTTGACAATTAACCAAAAAAACAGAGGCAAGTGAAAGACAAAGGGGTTTTTATATAGAAAGTTGCACAATGGTTTTAAGCATTCATCTTTTGGCTTTAGAAACGGCCAATTACTTTGCCTGCCCAAGTTTTGACTTTGCCATTAGAGTCCTGTCATCATTATTAGCTGTTTTCTTAGACAAAAAGTAATGACAAATCCAGATCACTCTGGCTAACCAATTATGCATCCAGTAAATTAATCAACACCTTTATAAAGCTTTCTACCCTTACCCTTCACCATAAAGTGCTCTTCAACCCACTCTTTTGCAGTTTTGGACTTATTCCTTCCTTTTATTTTCATACTTTGCTTTTAATCATTGCTCTCCACACATGCACCTTCCTTCCTTTTATCTTCTTCACTAATCCATCTCAGTACTAAGTAATACAGAAATCTTTACACAATTTCTTGTCTTGTATCCATCAACTGCATCATTTTTGTTCAAAGAATTTCTTAGTCACCTGTGGGATAATAGCCCTTTAGACTCTGAATTTGTTATTCATATTGCTTCAACTACAAGCCAAGCTTTTATCTTTTGTCAATTTTGTGTGTCATCTAGCAAGGTATGGAGAAAAACAAAAAATAAATAAATAAAAGAATAAAAGGCAGAGACAGAAGAAAATGATCTACGACATCATCAAGTGGTTTTTGGAATACACAGATACCAAACATTAATTTAAAACATTATGCCTTCTTTGGTGAAACACTTTATGACACTCGGATTTTCAGCATATGGTCGTTGCAATAACGAAAAATTCTTACGCCAGAATTATTGATGCCGCATAAACAATATGTTTCGTTAGACTGAGTTATGTGGAGAATTATTTTTAGAAAAGAAAATTCACTTCAATATAAAATTAAAATTTTGGTTTAATAACTTGCTTCAGGTCAAATGTGAGAATATATCATAAGTCTTTTTTTTAATAATTTTTATTTTAATATTATTGTTGATAAATTACTGTTTTTTCTTTTTCTGAAAATGTATGCATCTCCAAGTTCATATTCGTTTATATAATGTTCTGGTAGACTGGATTTTTATTAAATACACGTGTAAAATAATCCAAATTAAAAACAACTCTTAAAAAATGTTAGCACGTGTACATAAATATAATTTAATGTGCAATTAATATTCACATACCATTCTTTTAATTTAACATATATTAGGTTTATATGTAAAAAAATAAAAAAATTACATGTGCATGCATGTATGAAGACTGGTTAGCTTTTTAGTTATTATTGAATTGTAATGTTTAGATTATGTTTACGAATAGAGGAAAATTACACTATGTTATTAAACTATATAAACTGACACTAATTTAGTTAAAAAAACGATTTTAATTTAATTAATCTAATACGAAAAGTATATAGATTGTAATAAGAACATATAAAAAATAATTTAATGATTTTAAAATATAGTATTCACTCATTTTTAAATTGAATTAAGGGTCGAAATATCTTTTGTAAATAATTTTTTTAAATTAAATTATTTTCAACTCTCTCAAACAACTCCGAATTTAATCAATTAAATTCTTCGCATCTTTTTTTATCTTTTTTATTTCAATATATAAGGTTTAAAACAACTACATGCAAATCAATTTACCTATAACGAAGACTTTTCTTTAGGTAAGCTTGTACCTTTTAAAAAAATTTATCTGAGCAAATCTTTCACTTCAAGAGTCAAGGGGTACAAATTTTTTATCTTTTTTAATTAGTTATTCAATAAATGAAGTTGTTTCTTTTTCTTAGTTTATGAAAACAGTACTCAAATTTATTCAAGTGAAAATATTTTAATAATCATTTCATCTATAAGCCCATGGTTCCCCGTGTATCAATTGTTCCCTCATACATGAAATTTTTCATGGTTAAAACCTTGAAAAAAAAAAAGAATTAAACCCTAAAATAGATTAACAAGTTATACTATTATATACAAGTCAGAGTAGTGTATAAGATATATCTTCTTTAAGATCTTTAGTTTGTAGTTTGAAAAAAAAAACATTTTTTTTTGGTCTGTGTGAAAGCAGTGTATATATTTTTAAATATGGTTTATTTAATATCTGTAAGTCGGAAAATGTTTCATCGTTTTTTGAAGTCATTATTAACTTATATTCATGTAGGATAGAATAATTAAAATTGTACAAATGCACAAATTACAAGATATAACTTTCTATATAAATTAAACTATATAATAATTAAAAATTAAAAATGATGTGTGATTAAAAATTGTAATTTAGAAAAAAAAATCAAACAATAACAGATTACTTACTAAAACTGTGTTAAAGTGGTTTTTAAGGCATAATTAAAATTGACTCAATTATTGACCAATAATATACGGGGAAATATTAAGTAAAATTCTTAAAAATAACAATGAAAATTTAGAGAAATATAAAATCGGGTGGAATAATGCTGATCTAGATAAATTCTTAATAAACTGACTTTGGTTTTATTAAAGTATAATTTAATTATAAAGATTAATTGAATGATTAACATCCCTATCAATTAACATGTCTAAGAAAGTGTGGATGGCATTTTTTTAAAAGAAAAAAAAAAAGGTACGATGATTATTCCTTAGGACAGGGTACTTTTCTCTATGTTGATTATGTCATGCTCTAAATAGTATGAAGTCCAATAAATTGGCAATTTTAATTTTTTTATTTTTACTTTATGTTTGACATTTCTAGTGTTTAAAAGGAAGAAACATGAGAATTGGTTTTGGGCATAAAAAATATTCATTTGAAACATCAACATCAGACCCATGTATTCCATTATTGATGAAATTATTCAAGAAAACAGTTCCCCACCAACCATTAATTAGTCGGGTTATGTGGTAATTTTGTAGGAGGGCTTTGAATGGATGAATTTGATGGAAGAGGATGATGAAGAGATGATGTATGCATATGGTA